GTCAGTCTGGTCTACATGGCAAGTAGACCAGGACATCCAGGGCTACACCTTGAGACTTTGTCTCAAAAGAGAAAATTTTTAGCAACTAGAAGTACAGCTCAATGGCAGTGTATGCTTAGCAAGTGTGAGATCCTGCATTCAACCCATAGCCTCACACATAAAAATAAATAAAAAATTTAAGATAATAAAAATAAAATCATTTTGAGAATTGTGCAGTATTTTTGTACTACAATGAAAATTAAAACCTATGGGAAAACAAAATACACATTTTTTAACTACTGTATTTATTTTTATTTCCTATACATGAGTGTTTTGCCTGTCTATATGTTAAATATACCCATGTGTACAATGCGTGTGAAGGCCAGAAGGGGGCGTCTGATCCCCTGGAATCAGAGTTACAGATGGTTGTTAGTAACCATATAAGTGCTGGGAACCAAACCTGAGTCCTCTACAAGAGCAGCCAGTGTTTGTAACTGCTGAACATCTCTCCATCCCTGAAAATGCACATATTCACTGAAAAAATAATAAATTCGTGGTGGGAACAGTTTTAGGTTCACAGAAAAATTGAACAGAAAGTTCTCAGCTACCCCTACTTCTACACAGGAACAGATAATCCTTTACTATCAACAGCTGCCACCAGAGTGGTGCATATTTCACAACACATAAACCTATATTGACATGTCATTTTGAGACTAACACTATAGTTTATTTTAGCATTCTCTCTTGGTGTTATATATTCTATAGGTGTTGACAAATGTATAATAAACAACTGTATCCACTCCTATAGTATCATTGAGAATAATCACACTGCCCTAAATATCTCCCATAAAATGTATGTATGTTTAAATATAGTCTCAAAGGATCCCTGGCTCCTAGCACCCAACCACAGCTTCAGATTCAGAGCTGAGAACTCTGGGGAACCAGAGTCTTCCACATAATCACTTCGGAAGGATGCCACTGTGTCCTTCCACTAACCTCTCAGCCCTAGACCATAACCATCTTGTGCTCCTTCAGCCCCGTGTTGGTGTGGATGTGATGTCTATGCTGAGCACTCCCACAGCTCTCAGGCAAATGCCAGCTGCTGATTTTCTACTCCATCAGGGACAATCTCAGCCCTGAACAGTGGGGTCTCCTCTGGTCAGCAATATACCCCAGCAGGACTCCTCTCTCCATGGATTAGTAAATTACTGACCATATCTGCCAGATCACAACCACGTTTAATATCTCTGCAGGACTTCAAAATGCAAAGCCATGTTGTTTCTCCTTCCTTTGGATTAATGAGACTAATTAAAATGTAAGAGACTCAAGTAGGTGAGATGAAGCTACGAGTGGAGACATTGGCTTCATGGGCCTAGTGACCTGAGTTTAATCCTTAGAAACAACATAAAAGCAAGAGGAGAGAATCCACTCTACAACATTGTCTTCTTACCTCCAAACACAGGGTGGCATGTATTCCCTATCCCCCATGCACTCACAAAAACAATAATAAATTTAAATTAATGTTTTTATTTATTTTTATTGTATGTGTATGAATATTTTGCCTGCATGAATGTTAAGTGCACCACATGTGTGCAATGCTTGTGGAGGAAAGAAGGCGGCATCAGATTTCCTGGAACTGGGATTACAGATGGTTATTGTTCACCATGCAGGTTCTGGGAACCGAACCCAGGTCCTCTGCAAGAGCAGCCAGTGCTCTTAACTGCTGAGCCATCTCTCCAGCCCCTGAAATTTGTTTAATGTAAGAGATTCAAGTTATCCCAGGCACACTGGGACCAGGAAAAGTTCATCTCAATCCACTTTAAATGGGATGGGGGATTTCAATGTCTTCTTAGGATTTCATCTTGAAAAATAAAATTTAGTAAAAACTTATTGTATATGTACACATACTATTTTGCATCACCAGAACCCTGTCCTATTTCTTAGGCCTAACAAAGAATAAGCCATGTTATTTTTTATCCTATACAATTTCACTTCACTTCACAAGCTACACTGTATTAATGTTATATTGACACCAATTTCCAAGTGGAGAGAGAGTAAAAATAGTACATATTCCTTTATGGACCAAATCACAAAGAGTTAACTAAGGATGAAAATAGCTCAGCGTGGCGAGCCAAGGGGTTGAACTTGCTGAGAAAGACGGAAGAAAGGAAAGGAGGGTGGGTATTTTCATGTAATGATGACTTTTGCATACCCATGTAGCTTTGGTCTCAGGATACTCCTATAGTGTTGCTTTTTAGCTTCATCTCCATTGGCAGAAATATGACAATAAGAAATATCCATGCGGGGTTTGGAGATACGGCTCAGCAGTTGAAAGCACTGGCTGCTCTTGCAGAGGACCTGGGTTCGATTCTCAGCATCCACATGGAGACTAACAACCGTTCGTAACTCCAGTTCTCCCTCTTCTGACCTCTGCAGGCATTGCGTGACATAGGTGCACTTACATACATGTAGGCAATACACCCAAGCACATAAAATAAAAAATAATAAAATATTTTAGAAAAAGAAATATTCATGGGGCTGGAGAGATGGCTCAGCAGTTAAGAGCACTGACTGCTCTTGCAGAGGACCCGGGTTCGATTCCCAGCACCCACATGGCAGCTACAAACCATCCTTAACTCCAGTTCCAGGGGAATCTGAAGCCCTCTTCTGGCCTCTGCAGCATTGTACGACATGGGTGCACTCACATACATGCAGGCAATACACTCATACACATAAAAGAAAAAATCATAAATAAAATTTAAAAAAGAGAAATATTCATGAGGAAGCTGGGGCTAAAACTCAGTGAACGGGTGTATACTTAGCATGCATAAGGCCAGGGGTTCAAACCTTAGCCCTATCACCCCCATAAGTATACTTGGGGGACAAGACATTCCTCCATTTTTTATGTCATGACACCCACAGCCACTTATGAACCACAGAGCTCTGAGGATGTCCCTAATCACAGCACCATGCTGTATTCACTCCAGGCTTTAATTAAGACACTGATAACTAAAGGATCCAATCAGCTCTTGCAGTCTGGCTTGTGGGTTCCAACACACAATGCTGTAAACTTTCCCACTTCCCAAGCTGATGGTTCAGTCATTAGAAAATGCCCTGTGCATGAGGTTTTAGGAATCTTCAAAATATTTGTGGTTTTTAACAAATCAGCCTTGTCAAGCTGAGATGTCTGCCAGCTGGCATATTTCAAGTTTTTTCCAGCCTCCAACAAGACGAGGGGGCAAGGAAAGGGCCTTGGGATGGAAAAGACCTTCCATCTAATTCAGGTCCTATTCCTTCCTGCCTGCCCATGGAGAGGTTACTCATCCTCCTTGAGCCTCAGTTTCCTCATCTGTGAAAGGAAAATAAGCAAAACCTCCACATAATGTTGTAAGAAGGAAAGAAGGAATTTAGGGAAAACCTGGAGCAAATTAGTAGATGTGGGATTCAAGTTAGCACTATCACATACTACTGCACTCTCCTCTCTCTTTCTCTCTCTCTCTTTCTCTCTCTCTCTCTCTCTCTCTCTCTCTCTCTCACACACACACACACACACACACACACACACACACCACACCATACCACACTCATTTCTTCTCTTTTCTTTACAGGGTTCTCAGGCCCTCACAAGCACACAAGCACTATATGTTCATTACAGTTTGTCCTGATTTTAAATATGTGAAATAGGAGGGAGGCAGGCCGTGGATGGCACCACACTCCCTCTCCAGCTACAAGGGTGCACTATGTAACACTGGGAGAAGCACTGAGAAAGGTCTCTGGACAAGAAAGCTTTGTCCTGTCTAGTACTTTATATCCATGAATTAGAAGTTGCATCAGTCATGTTGCAACATTGTCAGCAAAACAGAAAGGTCCAGGGTACAACTGGCACAGGTCCATGCTTTGCAGGTAGGGGGGTAGGGAGGGAGTCTCTCAAAGATGAAAGTATGATTCTACAAAACCAAAGCCAGGAACACAAGGATGGCTTCACAACTATCTTTCCCTACACTGTCTGCCTCCCCCCAACAGAGAGAGAGAGAGAGAGAGAGAGAGAGAGAGAGAGAGAGAACAGAGACGCATACATACATGCTCACAAACACAGTTTCTTTTAGGTATGGTTAACATTTAAAAAGGTATGGTGGTGTACAAGCATCACCACAATCTATGCTATAAACCTACTCATCACCTACAAAAGTTTCTTCCCCAACTCCTTGTTAAGAATTCCTCTTCAACGCTACTAAAGTGGTTCCAAGACAACACCAGAGACATCAGATTTCTTCAAAACACAGGTGTGGGTTGCTGAGACTAAGAATTAAAGATAAGTCATTTGTTATCCCCCTGCCCCTCCTTTCTAAATAAAAGTCCAATTACGAGGAACGATCTGAATCCCACAGTTGCCTATTTCGCTGTCAATAAGTAGACAAGGAGATGCCTTATCTATAAATTCGGTCCAGGAACGTTTTAATTATGAAGTTCTCACATTTTCTACCCATTTTTAATATTTCCATCTGATATTAGTATTAGAAATAGAAAGTGATAGAAGAGTTTACAACTGAAGTGAAAAGAGAAAGCTTTTTAAACCTACTCTTCTGGGGAAAACACTCGTGTCATTAAATTGTAAACTCTGTGTGCTGTTCTTCAGAGCTGGTCATCTGGTATTAGCAATATTCCCAAACTGATATAAGATTTAGCAACTCACCAAAAGGTAGCACACTACACAGGTCAGATTTTCTGTAGAATCTGCACTGAAAGATTCCCGAAACTTACTGACTGCAGCGATGCCCTCTGGGGGACCACAATGATAAAGGGATTTCATAAATTACAGTTCAGTAGGAAAGCAAATTCTGCTTTTCTATTTTTAGAGTTCCTTTCTCTTCTTGAGTTTTGGTATTTTTACATCAAACTCTTAACTCTAGAAGCCATTCATCAACCAAAATTACTGGTGTCAAAGCGAAACCTGCAGGCAACATTTTTCTCTGTTACATTTGAGATATACACTCCCATTCCCAAAGGGATTAGGTACTTACTTGGATTGATTTGGGTCAGAGATGTCCACGGCCCTGGGAAGACTTGGAATCCAGTCCTCCTCTCAAAATCCCAGCAATTTTACTGCAAATTCTCAGAACTCAATTTTGTATATGGAGTGAGTTAAGGAGACAGTAGGGTGCGGAGGAGGAGAGAGTTTAAGTAAAAGCCCTGGGTGATCACAGGCAGCCTTCCGGCCTGACAGCAGCATCTCTCCCTTGGCTCTGTGCCTCATGGACACAGATTAGTCATTAACAATCCTTCCCTGCTAAATGATATAAACACAGAAAGGAACTTCAGAGAACCTCTAGATTCCCAGCACACAGTCCACAGAATCCCAGAACAGGGAACAGGGTCAGGTGCAGCTCACGTTTTAAATACTTCTGGCTTTGGGGGGCTCGTGGGTGCCCAGATCTCTGCCATCTTCCTTCCCTCACTTTCCAGTTTCCTTTCATAGTTCTATGACTTCCCAGAAATGAAAGTTAAAAACTATGAGCCTTCTTGACCCTTCCCTCTCCACAGTCTCCCATATCCCGTAATGACAGATTCCTGCTGATTCTATCTTTGGAATGCCTCTTCTTTCCAAGCCGCCCTTCTCCTCTGCCATGCTGGGTCGACCACAGTTTCCTCTCTGAAGAATGGTGCTGGTCCATTGCTTCCTTCTCTCTTCTTTTTCTGTTTTCCAAGTTGCATAGCAGTATAGAGCATGGGCTTTGGTCAGATGCCTGCTCACCTGTCACAGCCTTGAGTTAGATGCTTGGCTTTTCTGAGTCTCTTGGTTTCCTCATCTATAGAATGGGTGAATCTAGAGAAGCTAATTGATGGGAATTGACAAACAATTTTGTAAGTAATTACAAGGTTTAGGAAAATATTTGGAATATGCACTCAATAAATTCAGGCCATTATTTTATTTCTTCTTCATTACTTGAGGGAAGCATTGATTATCTGCTGCCACACACCAGCATCTTACTAGTTCTAACCAGAAACCCCCAGACAGGTTCTCATTGCCTAAAAAGTAAAGACAAAATGTCAGACGTTTAGAAACCCCTCCATCCACAATCACTTAGTCCTAATCTTTCTTTCTAGAACTTTGTCACATCCTATGTCTTTAGAGACCCCAGCTCTTGCTGACCTATACCAAGTTCCCACCTTCATGTGTTCAACCAAGCTTTTCCTTCCAGATAATCCTTGTGTTACCTTCCTTTCATACCCACGTATCTTCCAGGTGTGGAACAAAAGCCAAGGTCTCTCTGAAGCCAGTCTTATTCTGTATCTGCCCCTTACTCTGTCCACTAAACTCCCCTGAACCTTGATTTTTTTGTTCTTACTGTCCCTGAATGCTTCCAACCTTATACAGCACACCCCTTTACTCTGGTCTTTTATAGGAACAATGTTTTCAGAAGACAGGCATGGGGGCAGACTTGTTTGGTGTCCATCTTTGATTAGCATAAAGAGCGTCCCAGAAGTATTACATCACTGTTTGTTAATCAATGAAGGAGCTAAGAAACTAACAATTTCCCAAAGTATCATGACTTGGTGTGTGTGTGTGTGTGTGTGTGTGTGTGTGTGTGTGTGTGTATGTATGTGCCTATCTATCTATCTATCTCTGTGTGTGTATGTATGTGCCTATCTATCTATCTATCTGTGTGTGTGTGTGCTACCATAGGCTCCACTCCCCACCTTGGTACCTTCCCCAGTGTCCCACAGCACACCCCTTTGCCTCTGTCAATTCTCTCACTCATTTAGTGCGGAACATCAACACTCCCTGTAATCTGCAGCTCTGGGCTGCCCCAGAGACTTCAAGCCTAGTTCTTCTTGCCTAATGAGAACCTGTTTGTGATTTGTTCTCTCACATTGGTGGAAGGGATGATTAAAAACTCTTGTGCCAACCATCTGGGTTCAAATCCTAGGGCTGCCACTCATGAGCAAGGTGACATTAAGCCTTAGGCTTAGGAGTGCTTAGTCTCAATTCCCTTGCCTGTAAGATGGAGATATGATTCCTATGGATTTGCAATGTGTGCAAAGTGCTGGTACACAGAGGGCACTTGATGTAAGAAGGTGCTGCTTCAAAAGGATTAGCTGTTAGTATTTTCTCTGGATGTTTGCTCAATGAAACTATACCCCACTTCACCAAGGCTCAAGGAACATTACTGAAGAAGATGTTGAAAGAATGTAAGAGCTGGAGGATGGGGAGGAGGGCTGTGAAATGCTGACCTTTGGACATGACATGGCTATCACACTCATGGAAACTCACAACGGCTGTGGTGACCCACACCAGACCTGCACAGTCAAGCCAGGTGAAATCCCAGCATAGATGGGATAGATGATTTACAGGTCCCACCCCTGTAGTTCTCTGAGGAACTATCAGCACTTGATAGCTGCTGGGGGAATGAGAATTATTCTCCTTTGAGGTTTTGGTCACTAGTGGGTTTCCCATGATCCAGAGGATGGCCCCAAACATACACACATATTAGTGTTGGGGGGATACAGGGAAATAGGAGTGGATATTATAATATTTCATATATATATGTATGTGTGTGAAATTGTGAGGAATAAAAAAAATTTTAAAGTATCATGCCATTACTTTGCTCAAAACTCCCTGAAGATAGAGGCCATGGAGACCCCACCTGATGGACTTGAACCAGTGTCCAGTCTACAAAGAGGAGGGTCAACTCAGAGGCAACATTTCCTCCATGCTTCCAAGTGAAGCCAGCCACAGTTGAGTAGGACCTTTGACTTATCTTCACATAGATGGAACTGGTAAAAGAAAGGATCCAGGGGCTCCTCCCAAGTCCATGTGACCCCTGAGGAACAGATCCTCCAATGACCTGAATAGTAAAAATAAGTTGGTTTATTTGGGCTAACTGTATGGTCTTAAAAACCCAAAGAGAAAATATAACCAAAGATTAAAGTGATCAGTATATTTCTTTAAGAGTTCAAGGAATGGGCTGGAGAGGTGACTGAGTGGTTAAGAGCACTGGGAGCTCTTGCAGAGGATCTGGGTTTGATTCCCAGCACCCACATGGCAGCTACAAACCATTCTTAACTCCAGTTCCAGAGGAATCTGAAGCCCTCTTCTGACCTCCGCGGCATTTCATGACACGGGTGCACTCACATACAATCAGGTAATACACTCATACACGTAAAATAAAAATAATAAATAAAATATATTTTTTTAAGAAAAAAGAGTTCAAGGGATTACACTTCTCAGACATTAGGCTTAAGTCTATATAAAATGTTATTTAGACAATTCTCATTGATGATTTTGTTTCTAAGCAGAAAGTGCTATGCAGATGTAAGACTTCAAATCTTGGTCTGCAGTACTGTAGTGCCCACCTGTAGCTAAGGTAGACAACCAGCTATTGTTCTAAAATACTGGATAAATTTGTTTTCTCCCCCTACCTAGAAGCCTTTGAGAGGGAACTGACACGATTCTAGCTACTCCAACAGTTATCAAAATACCTGAAAGCAAATCCTGAATCCATCACTCTCAAATCCAGCCTTGGCAGACAAAAGAAAAATGAGGAGGAACCCAATAGAGGGATGTGTTTGGAAGCTCTCAGCAAGAAATCCCAATGGACTCTGAAATGAACATTTGAAATTTGCCCTGTTTTGACATTTTTCTGGTTCTCTGTCTAGAGCTTGTAATGCTAACTACTCTTGCCTTTACCTCTTCTTCACATCCCCTATTCACTAGTCAAGGTCTTTCTTTTCTCCCTACAGATAAAAGTTATGCAATTTAGAAGTCTTTTAGATAGCCCACTGAAGGGGCACCCCAATTGCCTCACCCTGCATCCCTGTTCAGCATGGAAGAAGCCAGAGCAGTCTGTGTACCAATTCCCTGTCGGCAATTTAGGTAACCTCTTCAGAGAATGGTGTGATAAGAAGAGGACGTAGGAAAGAGGATTGTCAACTTAGAGGAAACATCTCATTCATGCTTCCAAGTGAAGCCAGAAATGGCCAAACAGGACCTTTGACTTATCTTCACATAGATGGAACTGGTAAAAGAAAGGAGCCAGGAGCTCCTCCCAAGCCCATGTGACCCCAAAGGAACAGATCCTCAAATGACCTTAAATTTAAAAATAAATTGATTTATTTGGGCCAGCTATATGGTTTTAAACACCCGAAAGGAAAGTATAACCAAAGAGTAAAGTCATCAGTATATTTCTTTAAGAGTTCAAAGGATTAACCCAGACATTAG